CTGTCTTTGTGTAAAGAAGATGAGACAAAAAAAAAAAAAAAAAAAAAAAAAACCAACAACTGTGATTATCAACTTGTGACCCGCAGGCCAAATCCGGCCCATCAATCCATCCAGTCCGGCTCACAACTGCATTCCAAAAATGAGACGATCAAAGAGAAAAGAATTGTGTTGTCGATACAAGAAACTGAAAACAACAACAACAACAACAACAACTGAGACGTGAACGACTCTCAATAATCCCCAACATTTTTTTACTTTATTTACATTCAGTCAAAAATATGTGATTCAAAGGTTTGGCCTCCAAGGTGATATGGTTCGTGACCCCTGACCTACACACTGTTAAAACTGCACAGTAAACAGTTGTCAATATTAGCATAGCATGCTAACAACTGCAGTCAATGAGTCGGCAGACTCGGTAACGACAAACAAAACAAAACAAAAACATAAATATATAAGCTCTTATCATTGTTTACAGCTCGTCGTCATGGCAACCCGCCTCCCTCTGACTGATCCTTACACCAGTGAAGGTGAAGTCAGCACAAATGTCACAGGCTTCACATAATCTCTGGCTCATCTGCCATGACACATCCGTGCCACCCTCCTCACCACAGAAAGGTCAGGTCAGGATGTGAGAGATGAGAGAACGGAGAACGGAGCCAACGCCGCCTCACGTCCTGACCAGTTTGGGACAATCACAACTTTTTTTCTCCAGCTCCTCTCTGACCTGGCTGCTGATGTCCTAATTATGTCTGCGTTCAAAGATGACCTATGATGTTGTGTTGTCCAATCTGAGAGCGGCATTGTGTCAGTGTGGCGTGTGGGCAGCTGCTCATTGGTTTACAGCAGCATGTGATCTGAGAAAGCGGCTCATTGTGGTGTTTGAACATTAAAATACATTACATTAAAAACTTGAAATATTAAAGTAAAATATTGAAAAATTTGATTTCATTTGGGAAAATCTTAAATGACATTGTCTTTGGATGTGAAGGTCCAGTCTTTCATGTCCAGGTCTGGGAGGATCTGGAGGTTTGTTGACGCGGCAGTGAGAGTGACAGCGTCCATGTTTAAAAGCATCGTCTCTGCAGAGACAGAGACGGAGACGGAGACGGACGCCCAGAGCCTCAAAGATGTTAATGACTGTTTACAGGTGTTACAGACACACGGTCGTCTGTCGTCACTCATCCACGGTGTACGTCGTTCACCACAGACTCACCGATCCCGTCTTTCATTAAACGCAGACTGAACACAGCAAAGAACCAGTTTAAGGAGCAGAAAATGAACATTAATATTAAAGTTTGAGAAAGTTTCAGGGGGGAAAAAAAGCCAAAACATTTATTAATCTTTTTAAACATATTAATCCGATTGTTTTGTTAAAATTATTAATTACTATGATAGTATTACTTCATTTTTAGTTTTGTTTTAACTATTAACAATTGTTTTTTTCAAATTATTTCTATTATTTTTTTAATATATTTATTTGCAAGACAAGAACATGAATATATGTTTTTTCAGGTGTCTTAGAACTTTTTGACTGCCGTCTGCAGATCAAGGTAAAAAAAAAACAAAAAAAAACTACAGGCCGAGGATTCTGGGTCCACGGTTGGATGCATGGCTCTGCATCACTACACATGTATGTACTGTATAGAGGGGAGTACAGTTACAGTAGTACAGATGATGAGGTTTTTGATTGTAATCCAAACCCACACACACACACACACACACACACACCATCTCCAGAGCAGCTCTGCCTTCCTCCCCTGGTTCTGGGTCTTGTGCGATCAACAATAGTCTATTCTGTGCCGTCCCGTGCGAGAGGAGACACACCCAGAGCCAAGGCCACGGCGCGAGGGGAGATTGTTGGGTGGGGGCCAACGCTGAGGGACACTGGCTCAATTCTCGTCTGGTAGCCCAGATCCCGTCTCAGCCAGGGGGCAGAGGTGAGTCTGTCGCTCCCTATGGATCGTATGTGTCGCTGCGGAACGGTGGTCCGGTGATTCCCCCGGCCGAAGGGCATTTGACTGGTGTGTGGGAGCGACCGTGGAGGAGCCTGACCACGTGACCAGGTGAAGTCGATCACCACGAGAGACGGTTGAGAAGTGACACCTGCTAAGCTAGTCACGGTAACTTAGACGACGGTAGAACAAAAATAGCTGAGCTCATCGCCTCGGCCTGGATACAGTTTTATTATTTAGATGAAAATAACACAAAACTATGTTGTACATGAATGGGCAAACTGCGGTTCGAGGGCCAAATGCGGCCGCATTGGCCTTTCAATCCGGCCGATCCAAATTATATTATTAATTTATATTATCATTATCATATCATCAAGTTTGCCTTGTCCCTGCAATACCTGCATTTCCCCAATAGATGGTGTAGAAAAAGCTAAAAGCATTTTAGCCATTTTAGCCTTTATGCAGGACTTTTATATGTCATTTATCTTTGTTCACACGAATGCTTGGCTGCCCATCAAATTTTGGGACCCACTGTGGGCTGTGAGTCATAAAGTTTGCCTCCACCTGATCTAGTATTTACCGACCATAGACCGTATATATACCTGGACGTAGCCATCTCTAAAGTTCCAGTTGTTTGTTTGCAGCAATAAAGGAAAATAGAAGATGAAGATGTAGAAGAGTGAACGTGATTCAGAGAACGGCCTGTGACCCGATACGGCAGAGGCCAGAGGTCAATTTGTTGAGCAGCCGTGACAATCTGGATTTATAAGTTCCACAGACGAAGCTCTCCCTCACACACACACACACACACACACACACACACACACACACACACACACACACACACACACACACACTGTGGACGCACTGATAAGGCCAGAGCCTCTGTATGGTCTGATAACATAAATACGACACACCACCAACACACACCATCTGAGGCCCCGTCTGCCCCGGGCAGCCTAATTATATAATTACCCCTTGTCTGATTGTGGCCGTGCAGCTGAGACGAGGGAGGGTCTTTGTGTGGCCGCTGGAATGTGGTGCGCTTGGCATTTTTCAGCAAAAGGGCAGCTTTCTGGAAGTCCCTGCCAAAGGAGGAGAGGAGCGGAGAGGAGAGGAGGGTGAGGCCGCGGCTGCTGGTGCCCACTCCTTTTCTCTCTGTCCTCTGTCCTCCGTGTCTCAGGGTCTGTAGGACCCAGATCTGGAAAGTCCCATCGCTGCCCTCTGTGCTGCACTTTTAAAACTTAAGTATTTATTTCTCTATCTCCAGCCAATCACAAACCTCAACTACCGATGTCCGCAGAGCATCAGCAGAGCCATTAGCCTCAGCCGTTAGCCTCAGCCGTTAGCCTCAGCCGTTAGCCTCAGCCGTTAGCCTCAGCCAGTACCAGAGCGGTCCAGATAAAGTCAACATCCAGTGCAGAATGCAGGCAACTTGTGCCGAGCGCTGATAACAGCCGAGATGCGGCAGCGTCACAGGAGGATCTGCAGGTTTCCACTGCAGGGTCCGACGGTGACGGTGGACCCGGAGGCGACCGCTCTGCAGCCTGATAGAAAAGCATTGCTATTGTTTCTGCTGGAGAGTTGTTGAGGGGATAAGAGGGGCCGGGACTGGAGCAGGTGTTGGGAGAGATTACGGCTAAAGGTCCAGAAAAGCGTGTCGGTAGTTGAAGCAATGTCCAAGTTATTTCTTGAATCAAAGTCAAAAGCAACAAGGCCGCTGTCTCATAAACCCTGTCCCCTCCGTGCTACAGGATACAGACCTTTTTCTGACATTTACATCCCGGGCCTCCCAGGCTCTGCACGTTGCTCCTGGTGATTTAATGACTTATCAGAAGCCTTTTATTACCACTAATGAAAACAGCGGGGTTAAGAGTATATTGGCGCCAAAGCTCTCTCTCCCTCTCTGTCTCTCTCTCTCTCTAAATTCCTCCCTATCAATGGCCGTACAGGGAAAACAAAAACATATTTTCCAGCAACTCAACAAGACAAGACAACATCAGTGCAGCGTGGGAGGACGTCGCCCCTCAGATTTATCCACCTGCTCACAGGTGCGTCCCTAACAGAGGACAGTCTGAGTACTATCAGCTGTCACTTCTACAGTTCTACCACAGTAAACAGGTTGACCATGGACCCGACGATGAGCGTGTGCGTCGGAAACGTCCACGCCGTCTGCAGCGGTAACACTGGTAACTCAGAGCACTCGAGAAATTCCCATAGAATTCCAGGCCGTCCGTCTGATCCCTGTGCCTGCCTGTCAAAGCCCCCCTCTGGGGATCACACAGCATGGAGTATGTGAAAGAATGCTGGACACTGGGGGCCCAGTATTCCCATCTCCTGCTTGCTTACATAGCCCAAATGTTTCAATCCTGGAGGGAGCAGCCACGTCTCATCATATCAATATATAAAACCATACATGTAAACTCAAAGCTCGAAGGAATTTATTTAGTTAAAAACTAATTTTTTTACATTGTTTTCATTTGTCTGATTTAGTACGTCTCTGTGGAAAAATTTAGCGGTATGGACAGATCCACTAGGTGGCAACATTGTAATTCCAGAGACCATCACAAATGTCGCCGACAAACTTTACTGTAAACAGTGTCTGAACTACAGGAATCAGCAACAACAACTTTCTAAAGTGACACCACAACTGTCGTCCTCCACTCAAACAAATGATGCTCGGCCAGATCAGTGCAACAGCGCCCCTGTTGGTCTGCAGTGGTACTGGGTAGTAAATCTCAGAATACTTTTATATAAAATAATTGATACTATGTAAATAAAATATAATTGATAGATTTAAAAGATAAAATATTAAAAAATACAATAGAAAGTATTTAAAATTTAAAGTCAATTAAAGTAAATTATAGTCACTTCACAAACCTTTTGCTCAGAGTTTGTGTTCGTGTGTTTATCAAGAGGAGATTGTTTTAGAAGCATTAGACGAATCTTTGCCACGGAGATGCGGATAAACACTGCCATCTAGTGTCCAAAAATAAATAAAGCAAAACTCGTGTTACCATGCAAATACAGTATCTTGACGTGTTTCTCTGCTTCTTCAGCCCGCGCTCCTCAATCAGAATTTTATTCCATTTGTGTTCAACATTTTTCTCATTTACAACTGGTCATTCAATGAAGGGGTTTGAGTTTTGAGCTTTGGTTACAAACCACACAGCCATGACAGTACAAGATAAAAGATATGTGATTTATAATGGTACAAAAATGCTGGTGTCATGTGAGTGTATTTGCAACACGGATGTTAGTGTGAATGGAAACGTGGCCAGACTGAATATTTAGAGCTCGTTTCTGAACAGTGAAGTGGTGGCAGTCGACGTGCCTGAACTCAGCTGCACCCAGAGCAAACAGGCAGAAGAAGAGCATGACTACGACCCACTCACACACAGCAGCCTCAGAGGGGAAGCCGACTTTTTGGAGAATAGGCACTGAAGGAAGGGGGAGGCGTCAAGGAGCAAAGGACAGCAAAGAAAATGCTCTTAATGGTTCCATTAAATGATAAATCCACTTTAGCCAGTACCAAAAAAAAAGGTTCTGGGGTGAAACAGATGAACGTTCTTAATCAAGAGATTAATTTTAAACACTTTTCACTGTTGTCATTTTGTCACTGTTGTCATCCTCCAGTGTGAATTGATTAGAAAGGATACTAGTTATAACCAGAATGGTGCAGAAGGTGCAGCAGCTGGCCCTAACAGGCCCCACCCAGCGTCGGTCATGGGACGGCTGAGTCTGATAGGTCAGATACAGCTGTGTCCAGAAGTAGGCCAGGCCCATGTAGAAGGCCATAAAAGCTCCCAAAATGTGAACGTACTTCAAAACCGATTGCTGGAGGTTGACAAGATGTTTGTAAGCATCGTTTTTTTGTTTTTTTTTTAAATAATAAAAAATGTCCTAATGACATTGTGTTACCTGGAAGTTGCCGAGAATGCAGGTCCCTGTGGCGGAGATGAAGCCCAGAACTATGCTGGCCGTGTTGGCCTTCCCATGATTACTGAAGTCCTTGACCTGCTGGAAACGGATCGCCATCATCCAAAAGGCTGGAGGAGGGTAGCAAAGGTCACGGAGGTCAGGAAGCCATATTGTGATAATGAAATAAAAAATAACTCAAGACAATTGAACTGTAGTTACCTAAAAACGAGCAGGTGCTGCACACCTGGGAGAAGAGGCAGCTTTGAGGAGGGTATGACCCACATTTGCTAGGAGGATAATAAAAAAAAACCCAAAACATCGTATTAGTCAACATTGACCTTTCACCTCTCACTTCTGAAAACCTTTGTCCAGTTTAAATTCCTTATCTGTAAACACGTACCTGATGTAGGGGAATCCCTCGGTGAGGTTGACCGATCCGTTCGTTACAGCCATGGCAAACCTGACAGGAAGAACAGTTATGGAGGATTACTGATTGACGAAACAAACAAAAGAGAATCTTTGTGTGTTTGTCTTTCTTTAATTCCTGTGAGTATAACAGTATTGTGTTCAACTTAACAGGCCAAGGTTTGTAAAATATGAAATAACATGAAAGTTGCTTTAAGACGTTGACCTAATTCCAAAATCTGCATGAACCGGCGGGGACCGTGCTGACTCTTGGTAACCTTTGAGCTACTAGTGAATGATTATTGTAACAATATAATCTGCAAACAGTTGTCATTCAGGATTTCTTTAGAGTAGAGTACTCACACTGTCCAAATGCCCCCACTGCCTAAAACAGCAATACTGACAGGAAGTAGTGCCCACAGCCACATGTTCGGCAGCTGCCGCTCAGTTCATGTCCAGAATAAGAGCTTCTCGTCACCTAAAGAAAATCAGTGCAGTTACAAAACGAGTCAAAAATACAAATCTTAACGATAGCTTTCTGGTCGTATCACGGCGGTACTTACTTTGTCCTCACTGCTCTGCACAGGAGGGACCAATGACCAAACACAGGAGTTTGTTACACAGTGTTTGGTGTTAAAGGTGACGGAGGGGAGGGGCTGGTGAATGTGTAGAGGAATGATGATGAATATAAACACAGGTGTAAAAAAAAAAAAAAACTCTGGGAGGAATTCAGTCCATTTCAATTTTGAAGGTTAAACTGTAGTGACATGTGAAAAAAAACCAAACAACAAAAGCAGAACACAAACAATTTCTTTAAAGTAATACTATTTTCATAGCTTTTAAATAAAGAGTCATGCAGGCGCCCCCTTTTGGAGATCCACAATAACAGCATTTCTTTTTATCTACTCAGATAAAAATGTGATTATTACCATTTATAAATATCACTGTGATTGAAAATTCACCACAGTGACATTTTAGCAACACCTGTGGCTTTCAACACAATGGGCAAAAGATTTGCACTGATGAATAAAAAACTACACGTTTCCGGCAGATTATGCAAAACAAAATGTACTTTTTTCTTTTGTGGCTGGTTAAGTACCATTATTATTTCACGCCCTGGAGGTGGTAGTCTTTTTTTTAAGTTATTTATGATAAAGTTATTTATCGGACTTTGAACCAGAAACGATCCTTGGATCCTTTGAAGTGAATGAAAGCGATTGGTCCAAAAGAAAAGTGTTTTAGACGAAGGAGCACAGAAATCTGTAAAGCCTGTGGTGGACGTTGAAAAAATGACAACACGATAAATGCTAACTGCCGCTAAACACCAACCAAAACAGTCTCTGAGACGAAGGAGCTCAGAAATCTGCAAAGCCTGTGGTGGACGTTGAAAAAGTGACAACACGATAAATGCTAACTGGCGCTAAACACCAACCAAAACAGTCTCTGTGAGAGGCAGAGAAGATGATAAAGAGGAAAAACAACGAAAGGTGAAAGGAAGTGAGAGAAGAAGAAGAAGAAGAAAAGAAGAAGAAGAAGAACCAAAGTTGAAATAACTACAGTCTGGACATCATTCAGCATCGATCTGTGTCCACTCCCCTCCATTAAAGTGACGTGACTTTGATGATATGACATCATGACTGCAGTCCATTCCAGCTCCGTGACACTAGAAGATTATTCCACTGGTGACATGGACCTGTCAATCACTGCAGACAAAGCCTACTCCAGCTACATAGACAAGCTGGAGAAGCAGCTGACCAAGCTGCAGGCTCAAATGGCGTCTCTCAAAGCCTCCGTCAGCAGCGGACAGACCTCGGCCAAACAGGGCAAGAAGTTCAGGTCCAAAGCCAAGGCCGGGCCTCAGCAGACGGTGCCTCACCCGGCCGAGTCTAAACTCTCCAAGAAGCCTCGCCCGTGGTACTGCTTCAAGTGCGGAGAGGACGGACACATAGCTCTGTACTGTGGCAACGAACCAGATCCTGAGCTGGTTGAAGTAAAGCAGAGGAAACTGAAGAGGAGACAACAAGCCTGGAAAAACACAAATACCACTCAGGTTTAGGCTCAGAGAAATTGGAATTAGGTAAATAATAATAATAATAATAATAATTCAAAAAGAATGTCAACAGAGAAAATAAAAATTTGAAAAATGTAAAGTGTACTTTATGTACTTTGTATTGCAGTTTATGATAAGAATATTGTGATTCATTATATATATACATTACATTATATATATATATACATAATATTATGTAATGAAAAAATCTGCAGTTTTATTTAGGCATTAATTCTTTTCAATTTTTATGTGACATTTAGTATATAAAAACACATCCTTGTGTCTTATTTTGTTTATTCTACACTCCTAATGTCAAATACATGTTATTATCAGTGTGTGTGTGTGTGTGTGTGTGTTCTTACATTAATGTGATCTTTAATGAGTCTAATACAAAGAAAATGACAATTTACACAATTCC